GCTCGACCCCTGATGAGTGCTGCTTGATTTGGATGTGAATATCCCTGGCAGCCGCGCGCTAATATAATAAAGTCCACAATTTAAAATTTTCCTGGGTGGTCAACTCGCTCATTTCTCGGTATAACAAAGTGATTTCCCTACAGTTAGTAGCTCAGTCTAGATTCACACCCAGGTTCTCTGACTCTGTGTTGGAGTGGTCTTGCCTCTGCAGAACAGTCATTTTACTTCTGGGTCTTAGTTTACTCATCTCTAAAATGACAGGGTTAGACTAGAATGATATGTAAGGCCCCTTCCAATTGTAAAACCTTTTGATAAAATATAATATTGTGATAGAATTTAATAAAGGTTAACTGAGGCACAGAATTCCAAACTTTATCAGTTTATTAACAGGGTGCAAATCTATTAATATAGTGGGTCAAATGGCTGCCTCAGACCAATGACTTAGAGGAAAAGGTTCAATCCCTTTTTATAAGCATAGAACAAAAAATAGAACTGGGCAGGTGAGGAAAATAATGCAGTTGCAACATCATAGAGGGGGATCCATTCCACTGGATGGAAATTGGGAATGAGAAGCTAGCAACAACTCCCTCCTTCCCACCTGTGACTGAGAAATGTTCATTGTTTGAGTCCACCTGCAAGGTTAGAGAGAGTGGACCAGGCTTATTTGGATACCAAAAGAAACATCATTGAAGCTTTGTGGTGTAAAGATAATAGACCAGACTCCCCGGCATCCATCTGCATCCCTCAAAATAAGAGAGTTCCTTGGGGCAATAACAGAACAGAGATTAGTAGGAGAACTGAACTTCTAAATTTAGTTCATTGGCAAAGAGACAAAGAAATGTGGCTTGAGCAATCACAAAAATGGGGCAGCAATACAAAATAGAATCAATTACAGTTTAATATGAATGTATAAGTAGAGCCTATATCAGATTACATGCCATCTTGGGGAGGGGTTGGAGAGTGTGGGGGAGAAAATTCAAAACTCACAATCTTATGGAATTGAATGTTGAAAACTAAAAATAAATTAATTATTAGAATCAATTACAGATAGAAACAATAGAAGCAATTACTTTAAAATAATATTTTATTTTTTTGCCAAGTGTATGTTAAGACAATTTTTAACATTTTTTTTTTATTTTGAGTCCTAATTTTTCTCCCTTCTTCCCAACGCTTGGTAAGCAATTTGATATAGTTTATACATGTGCAGCCATGTAAAACATATTTCTATATTAGTCATGTGAAAGAAAATACAGACCAAAAAAAAAACCCCCCACAAAAACAATAAAGTGAAAAATAGTACACACTTCAATCTGTATTCAGACTCCATCAGTTCTTTCTATGTAGGTAGATAGCATTTTTCAGCATGAGACCTTTGGAATTGTCTTGGATAGCTAAGACACAGAATAGAAAAAATCATAAAATGATACCAGATCAATTTAATTTCTTCAATACTGTTAGAAATAGACTTGACACCAAAAATTTGGTTATCAAGAAAATTTATTATAAAGAAAGTCCAGAGGATTTAGATGTTTCTGGCCAGAAGCGGGGCTCCACCCCTCTTCAGGAGGGTTGGGCCCTGAGTGCAAGGGAAAGTGTGCTTTTATGCAGTTGAATTTGTCGCAAAACCTCCCGGGCCAGGATTGGTCCAGCCCTTCCCAGGCCACACCCCTCCTAACATGTTTCCCCTTGACATGCTCAAGTATGTTCCCCCTCCCCTGGTCATACGTCCCATGACTTCTTAATGAGGCTCCAATTTTATGAGGGGTGTGCCAGATAATAGTAATGAAGCTCATTAAACAGGAGCACTAGCACTTTTCAGGTGTCCTCAGGTTGACCCCAACTGGTCTGAGCTGGCTTGACCCTTATCTTGATTTTGGGGTCTTCTTGGAACAATCCACTTACTTCCTATTGGTCAAACCCAGCCCACCTACAGTGTACCACCTCCTGGGACCTTTGTTCTTTAAATCTCTGCATTATTCTCTTTCTCCGTGGAAATTTAACCTTTACCTGACTCTCACAAATACCTTTGACCAGGGGTATGGTAACACTTTCTCTTACTGAGCTAGGCCTGAAATTTGGCCCAGGCATAAGAATAAAGGCTATTTATATTTCTTCCCATCTGCTTTAACCTAGAACTTTGATACTGCCTTGGCCTGAGATTGTGTTCCCAATCAAAAGGTTACAGTGGACCCTTAAGGGAGGCTGTCAGCATCCCCAATGAAAGCCAAGTTCTTCGAGACAGGAAAAGGAAGGGAAGGCAAGGCAAGGCAAGGGAAAGGAAAGGGAAAAAATTTATTAAGCACCTACTATGTACCACAAATCATGCCATGCCACAAATATTATATCATTTCCTCTTCACAACTACCCTAGGAGGTAGGTGTTATTATTATGCCTATTTTACAGTTGAGGAAACTGAGGCAGACAGAGGTTAAGTGACTTGTCCAGGATTGCATCGCTAGTAAGTGTCTGAGTCTGAATTTGAAATCACTTCTTCCATCTTCCTGACTAGCTCCAGAGGTCTATCTGTTGTACCACCTAGGTAGGAGTGGTCCAGGGACAGTCAAGACAAGGGGATAATTACAGGTTGAAATCCTGCCTTTTTCAAGAGGTCTTGTAAGTTCCTCCAGCTTCCCTTCTCATATTACTTTCCATGTATCTTATTTATACCTCGTTATTTCCAAGTTGTTTTTCCCCATTAGAATATGTTTTCTGAGGCCAGGGACTCTTTTTACCTTTCTTTATATCCCCAGTGTTTAGCACAGTGCCTGACACTTTCTAAGTGCTTAATAAATGCTTGTTTGACTGACAGAACGGAGGTCCAGGGGAAGAGGACATCAGCAGTGACCAAGGCCATGACTAGAATCACAACACCTCTGCCAGCCACCCAGAGGGCTCAGATCACTAGGCCAACTGCCTCTTTCCAGAGTCCCAGCCCCACAGGCAAGAGGAGGCTAAAAGTGGAAGACTTCCAGGCAGAGCCCTGCCGGGACTTTTGAGGATGAATGTAGATTGGAAGAAGGAAGCCCACAAACGGTGAGTTTTCCTGATGGCTCCTGAAAGTGTCACCTACTCATTTGTGTTTTTACTTTCTTCACTCCAGCTCAGGGTTTCTTTCTTAGATTTTTTTTTTTATGATCCTGGCTCTTGATCTACCATTGAGTGTAACTCTTAAGTCTTCCTTCTGCCTTTGTCCCTGTGATGATACAGATACTATGTATAGTTCCTGGCCCACCCTTGAGAACATCCTTCTTTTAAAATATTTTAAAAATTTAATTAACATTTTATTTGTTCCCCAAATACATGTAAGAACAAATTTTAACACCTTTTTAAAATTTTGAGCTCCAAATTCTCTCCCTCTTCTCCCCCCCCATTGAAAAGGCAAGCAATTTGATATGGGTTATACATGTACAGTCACACAAAATGTATTTCCATGGAGAACATCCTTCTATTAGAATCCTAGGTGTAACACTGATGTGTATGTGGTGGTGGTGGACATACTTTTCTATATTCATCACTATAGTTCCCAAGTCCCTACTAGTGTGCTTCTCATTTACGTGAAATCAGTCGCTATGATACCATTAACTCTTAAACATAACTTTGTTGAATAAGGTAAATATAAGAATAACCATAAAATTTATTCAGTAGAAGGCAAAAGCAGGAATAATCATAACATTTACTCAATAAAAGGCAACAATAATTAGCATAACATTTACGCAGTAGAAAATAGGAGCAGGAATAAGCAAAAAAAAAAAATTACCTATAAACCTGGGTCACAGTCTCCCACCAATATACATGGGGTGTCTGTGGGAGAATGGAAATACACTTACATAAACCTAGCAGGGATGCATATGAGTGGGGCAACCAATGTACTTGGGGCAACTCATGATTCTGGACAGCAAACCTTGATGTCCTTAGGTTTTTTAGAGAACAGTCTATATTATGCATCACCTGGTACACAAAATTTCTTTTCTGCTCCCTGCTCTTTTATGATTCTCATAATTTTCCTACTGACAAAACTGCTTCTTTACTAATCTCAGGCTGTTGAAGCAGTCACAAACTCTTTTAGAACACAGTCACCTTTGGTAGGGTGCTGAAAAAGTATTTCAGAGATAAGCAGTTCCCTTAAACTAAAGAACTGCTAAGCTCCTCTGACCTGCCTACAGCAAAGACAAATCTCTTACAGCAGAACATACATGTTTTCTCCTTTGTTTCTCCCTCTCAAACCAAAGAGGTCAGTAGAAAGCCACACAAGCCCCCAGAGAGATTATCCCGCTCTCACACTGTAGACGACTCTGGAGAGCAAAAAGCCCAGATAGCTCTTCACAAAGCAACAAAATTCAGCTCTCTTACATTGTTGTTGTTGTTGTTGTTTGTACTTCATTTTCTTCTTTTTAATATATTTTTTAATTTAAATTTTTTTATTTTTTCCATATGCTTTGGAGTTGAAAATTTTTCTCCCTTTTCCTCCCCCCCACCCTCCCCAAGTCGGCACACAATCTGATATAGGCTTTACATTTACATACCCATTAAACATATTTTCACATTAGTGAAGTTGTAAGTAAAAATTAAAACCAATACAAGGAACCATCAGAAAGATGAAACAAAACTCAACAGAAAGTAAAAATAAGTGATAGCGATTCGACTTCCATAGTTCTTTCTTTGGATGTGGACAGCATTATCCATCCCGCGGCCTCTGGAAATGTCTTAGATCCTCATAATGCTGAGAAAGGTTCAGTTTAACAATCTTAGTCATTGCATAACATGGCTGTTATTGTGTACAAAGTCTTCTTGAAGTTCTGCTCACTTCACTGAGCATCAGACCATATAAGTCTTTCCAGGTTTGTCTGAAGTCAGCCTGTTCATCATTTCTTATAGCACAATAGTATTCCATTACATTCATATACCACAACTTGGTCAGCCATTCCCCAATTGATGGGCATCCTCTCAATTTCCAATTCTTTGCCACCACAAAAAGAGCTGCTATAAAGATTTTTGTACATATGGGTCCTTTTCCCATTTGTTTGATCTCTTTGGGATATAGCCCTAGAAGTGCTATTGCTGGATCATTTTTGTAGCCTATGGTTTCATCACCAATGACTTTCATTGATTTGCTGATCACTGTTATGACCCAAAGTGGAAAAAAATGCAGTTTTACCTCAACCATGACTTTATACTGGAGAAGAGACTGTGGAAACAATTACATAGTGAAGGTATCATCTGGCTATACCAAGGTCCCAAAGCCATTATACCACAGAACTAGAGGGTGCTCAGAAATGGCCAGTCTGCTTTCTCATGGTGTAAGTAGAGGAAAGAGAATATTGTGGAAGAAGAAGGACCACATGCACCTTTGGGAAAGCTCTAAGCCTTGGTAGCTACTTGAACTGTCCTCCCCCTAACCAAGTGGAAAGGGCTCACTTCAGGCCAAGACCATGGGGACTGAAATTTATAAATCTTTTGAAAAGAAAATAGGAGGATCTTGTAGGTTCCTGGATTTAAACTAGATGGGGTTATAAATAAAGAGTTAATACCAAGATTTACTACCGGAAAGTACACCTACTCTTTTCTTCCCACTGTACACACACACACACACACACACACACACACACACACACACACACACACACACACACACCCTTTCCTTTCCAGAGCCTATGACCACAATGACAGATGGAAATCACACTCCCAGGGTCAGCCTGAAGTGCTTAGAAGTGTTGCATCCTTCAAACAAGACCCTAATTAGAGTAAGAACCACGGAAAACTGCGGAGCTGGAGCAAAACGCGGAGCTATCGATAACGTTCTACCTTTCTGCATCCAGTAACGGAATGCAAAGTTTAATGCCCACAGGCCCCAGGACCAAGGCCAGCGGGGAGTTGGGTGGGGTGGGGGGCTTGAGATTGATTGGATTGCAATACCAGAATGAGGCACGAGGGGACAGCATCTCTTCATCGGCCTGAGTACATCGTCCGAGTACGTGTGACATTGCCCAAGAGCCACTCTCCCAACAATTTCCAACTTCCCACAAGTAGAGCAGAATAAACTGTGTCCAGGAGGGCCCCTGGGACCTCGGAATCACCCTTGTTCTGAAATCTTGGGGAGAGGAGTAAAGACAGACTGTGGGGAGGGCAGAGCGGAGAGCTAGACAGGGATTTACTGGGACTCTACTGGAGAAAGATATCCATAGGGAGAACATCAGTAGCAAAGGCGAGGCGGGGCGGTGGGGAGGGTGAGTCGGGTGGCTACAGTTCGCTCCTTGTTCCGTACTCCCGGTGCCCCCAGCCGCGGCTCCTGTAGCTTCCTCCTTTTCCTCCTCTGTCGGTCCGCAGACTCACAAGCCTGAGAGATGGGATGGCGACCCAGGGGTTTGGAGTGCATGGGGAGGGAGGGTGAACGCCTTCAGACTTAACTGCTCCTTGCATCCCTTTCCCGAAAAAGTCTGCTAAGCCTCCGGTCTAACCTCCTGGATAGGAGGGAGGGAAAAGGAAAATGGGGAGAGGAAGGGAGGACGAGAGAACAATCAAGTTGAGGGCGTGGAGTAGAGGTCAGCACGGGAATTCCTCTCCCTCCCTACCCATCTCTTGCTGGCCGCTCCTTGGTCCTGAGGCCAACCCCAGGAGAACACCCGCAGAGCAAGAAGGCGGTCCGATGTGGCTCCCCTGGCTCGGCGGGATGTGGATTCCAAGCCGGATGATTCTCCGGTTGTTGCTTCTGCTCTCGGCCGTCTCTTCTGGACTGCTGTTCACCTTTTACTATTCAGCCAACCATTTGACCAGCAGTCCCCCGCAAAAAACCAGGTAAGGAGACCCAGAAAGGGAGTCGCTGAACCCAGGAGTGCAAAACTGCGACCTGGCGCTTCTTCCCAGTGGATTGCCACCAGGTAGCATCCTGTCTTCCTCTGGGGACCCCCTAGATTTCAGTCTCTTCTGCTGTCCCTGCTCCAGTGTAAGTGGTGCCCACTCATGGAACTCTTCCCCAAATTCTGTCTCTCCAACGTGGCCCCCAGAACCTTTTGCAGAGTGAAAACCAGGCCTGAGGAGGGTCAACTATAGAGGTCGGGGTTCAGGGGCAGCCTGTGCCAGGGCTAGTGGAGTGGGGATGTCAGAAGTGAGCTGCCCTGACATGCTCAAGAAGAGGCTAAAAAACACTCGCGTTTTAGAGTGCTTTCTGATCTCTGCCTTTTTCTGTGTCCCCTTCCCCCCCACCTCAACTTTTAAAACTCACAGGACCTTCCAGGACATTTCGCCCCAAGTTCTGGACAGATGCCATCTGAAAGAACACAGTCTTCCCCCATGCTTCCCCTCACTTTGTAAAGAGCAATAAATATCTATACCTTGGAAGTAGAGAAAGAGGAAAGAAATTTAGACCATCTGTGAGGGTCCTTGCTTCCTATGGCCTTCAAGATTTCAAGCTCCTTGAGGGCCTATTTCTTTGTAACCCATTCAGCACTTAGCCCAGTGCATTGGGCTTTCTGAGGGCTTAACCAATGTTTATTGAATCTTTATTCAAATCCCTAGACTTTCTTAATCAGGGAGGCAGGAACTGCAAGCTGAGACTCTCACAAGGTTTGATTTGGGATAATTCTCCTTACTTACTGATTGAAGGTATTGCTTTGAAGATCTCAGGAAAAACTTTGGAACTGAGTCATAGAATCACAGTTATCAGAGAGCTGGAAAGAACCTTAACAACATTGACTTATACATGGATATAACATACCTGATAAGGCTTTTCGAAACCTTTCAAGGACAGAGGATACCATCTCTCCTGAAACAGTCGATTCCACTTCTTCTTCTTTTTTTTTTTTTGCTATTTCCTTCCATTTTTCCTGGTTCTGCCCCCCCTGGGGCTATAGAAAATAAATCTAAACCCTCTTAAACCTGACATCCCTGTAAATACTTGAAGACAACTATTACCCACCCCTTCCCCCTTACCAGTCTCCGCCAGGCTGAACATGCCCAATTTCTTCCACATGAAAGAAAAACTCGGTGGTCTTTGATTTTGGCGCAGAAACAAATTTATTAATTAAATCCCAAGCATAAATCTGCATAGAGCCAGGGCTCTTAACTTTTTTTTTTTTGGTATCATGGACACTTTTGACAGTCTGGTGAAACCTATGAGGCCCTTCTTAGAATAATGTTTTTAAATGAATAAAACAAAATACATATGATTACAAAGGGAACCATTTAAATTGAAATACAGTTATCATAATATTTTTAGAACAACAAACAAACATGTTCACAGACCCCACGTTAAGAATTCTTGAGAGATGGGGAGTGGGGGTGAAGGGATAAGGGAAGAGTTTCCCCCTACCTTGGAAAATCTCTCTGCCGCAATCTTTACAATTTTATAGTAATTTTAAGACAAAGACAAATTCCATTGCGACGTAAAACTAGACTTAAAAAGTTCAGTTTTAGTGTTTTCAAATGTTAATGTTGAAAGGTATACCCTTAAGGATGTTGTCTTCTTAGAATACCAAGTTCTAGTCCAGGGCGTAACCCAGACCAAGGTCCACACAAAAGTGATTTCCCTATAATTTTTCCTGGGATTCCAGTCCCTCCCTGAACTCAATTGTCTTATAAAAAGTAAGCCTGGTTAGATCTTTCATTCAACTAAGGTTTAGAATTTTACACTACAACATGGAAATAATTATATATACATATATATGTATATACACACATATATACATACATATATTTATAAAAGGCATAGCATGTTCCACACTCATAACTGAATTATTCTTTGATATTTACTAGTTCTTCCATCCCAGCCAGCCTGCCCATTCTGTATCTGAAGACACAAAGGAAGAAATCAGATGATACTGGGGTACCCCTGGTTTCTAGAGCCTGAATTCTTCCTGTCTTCAGCATCCTTATCATTTCCCTCCAGGGATCTCCATATGTCCATTCTTGCCACCTTCTTATTGTCTCCAGTTCTTAGACTTTCATTCATATGCTATTGCTGATTGATGCATTATTTCACTTCCCTCCCCAGCTAGTTCCAGCAGCAGGAGGGTTTGGGTCCCAGGTTCTAGACTCAGATATCATCATTTTAGTGTCTCCTCTCCCTTCACCACTGCACTGCTTGTTCACAGACAGGTTGTTATAGAGCAGAAGACCTTAACCTTTTGTGGCTTAAGAACCCTTCTGCCCCTTTGGCAGTCTAGTAAAACCTAATATGACTGTGGTTTGTTGTCGACCTGAAAGTTTGGTTAAAGAAGGCAAACAAGTTAGGTGATACATGATTATATAGTTTATTCCCTTTTAGCTAGCGAATCATGTCGACATGGAAGCCAGAATGCGATTCTGACTCCAAGATTAAGCAAAATGAGAGAGGTTTTATACAGTTTAGAGTGATCAGACTCAGGATGTCTGTGTTACAAAAAATACAGCCTCCATATTTTTTTTAACATATAGCATGGGAAAGGAATTTTCTTAATTGAATAGGCTGTAAATACAATAAAATAGGAGAATGTAAAAGTGTCCATTGAAATTATAGACCCAGATAAGAAGAGTCCCATTATTCAAGAGAGTGTCTGGACCCAGACATCGTGGGTTTAGTGATAACGAACAGGAATTCCATCTGGTCCTGGAATTTGCTGACACAGGAAGGGGTGTTTTTAGTTCACTCAGAGAGAAAAAGATTAATTCAGGTTTTTGGCCCTTATTGGGGCTCAATTGATCTTAAATGATTATCATTGTCTACATTCGTAATTGAAGAAAATGCTAAATTTCATTTAGAGGTTAGTGAAAATAAAGATGTGGGTTTTTGTTTTCCCCATTCAAATTCATAGGATCCCCTAAAATCCACACAGGAAAGTACCCCTATTATACTGGAATAGTCTATGCTCTTAGGGAACTTATCAGTTTAAAGAAAGAAGTGATACATGCAAATTAACAGTTGTTAACAAAAACTGTATAACTCATAGTCAGATCCTTATTCGATGTCCTGCTGGCATCAAGCAACACATAAGACAACTAGGCCCCCATAGTAAATAATAAGAATAACTAATATTTATATAGGCTTTAATTTTGCAAAGCACTTTACATATATTATTATTTACATATATTATCTGGTCCCAACAATCCAGGGAGATGGCTGCTGCCATTATCCTCATTTCGTAGATATGGCAGAGATTAATGATGACTTGCCCAGGGTCACACTAAATAACCCAGAAGATTCCAAGTCCACTGCTCTGTCCAGGACCCTATTCCTGGTAGGGGAATTGAATTCAGTTCAACTCAATGTCTATTTTCCTGCTTTGTATCCTTGGGATCTTAAGCATGTACAAGGCATGGGCCAAGTGTGCCCAGGTACATACTCTATGTTTGAGACTCAAAGATGAACATTAGCAATCCCTGCCCTTGGGTTTACAGTCTACTGGGGGAAAGGGGGAATGCAAAGTACACAGACATGTTGAAACACTCCCTCCTCCTCCCCTCTCTAATGCTAAGAATCTTTATTTTTTCTCTCAGTATGTAGTCTGAAGCCTGAAAAAAGTGATTTAATATTTCTAAAAAAGGAATAGTGGGGGGAGGATGCTAGTGTGCTCACACACATTTTTGAGTAAATATAACATAGAGTAGATATATAACATGCAGGTAAACGGGAGATCCAGACAAAGTGCTCAAGGTAAATTTGAGAAGGGAAGAAATTTTCACTGAATCAGGGAAGGCTTCATGGAGCAGGTGGCATTTGAGCACAGAGCCTTGAAGGAAAGGAAGGCTTTTAACCAGCAGAGATGAGGAAGCACTATAGGCCAGGCATGGGGGAGTAGGTTGCATGAGTGCATGGAAATGGAAGATAGCCAGATAAGATGGGGTGATAGCTAATAGTCCAGTTTGGCTGGACTCTTAAAAAAAAAGGAAGAGGATACATGTGAAATAAAACTAACCTGGAAGCATGGAGCAATGCTTAGAATCCAGGGAAGGTTTCTGAAGGGAAGTGCATTTTGAGCCGAAGGGGGAGAGACTGGTTGTATGGAACAGAGAGAAGAAATTGTTCCAGAGAAAGAATATTACATGTTAACACAAGTGGAAGAAAGTCTTAGGGCCTTTGAATGGGGGGGGGGGTGATGAGCAGATTTATCTCTTTGCAGTAGGGATTACAGAGAGGAATAAGAAATGTGAGAAATAAGGTGACAGAAGTGACAATTTGTAGCGAAGGCCAAATTGGCAACTCCTAGTGCCAGGCACAGGGTGAAATCCAAGTCAGTGGATGTGGACAGACTTTTCCCTGGCAGCGGCAGCTTCCCCTGGGGGTTGAGGCTTCCAAAGGCATTTGTCCTGGGGTTTCCATTTGCTTAGAAGCAGAGTTGGCAGTGAATCCCAAAACAAGTGCTGAGGGAGTCTTTGGGAGCAACTTCTCTGTCTTACCTGAGTTTAAGTGAAATGCAAGCTGGCAAAGCCTAATGAGTTAGAAACTCTGTCCCCTTCCCCCACCTTGAACTGATCTTTTCTTCTCCTTTCAGCCCTATCTCTGGGTCTGTTAAAACATTCTACCCTATTCCTTCCCAGAGGGCACTGCCTTTGTTCTTCTGGAGAAGGATCTGGTTTCCAATGGACAGATTCACAAGCTTATTGCTCCACCGGTCTCAACCTGCTCCAACCTGAGACAAATTCTCAACAATGCAGTCTTTGTTTCCCTGACAATAACCCTTTCATCCTGGCATCCCTATCAGTAAAACATTTTTGAGCATGCACCTACAATATATATAGAGACTTACTTATTCATATGTTATATTCATGTGCTTCTGTACTCACATTCTGTATATTATAAAACATACCCACAAAATAATTTG